GGGGAGGTGAGAAGCGATTTCTTTGTTTCACCTCAGACTAGGGAAGACAGCGAAACTACTGGATCACAGAAAAGCGTTTATTGGCTCTTCCATTATGGCTCTGGTGGAGCATCGATTCAACACCTTACAAGGAAGAAAGAGGATAAAAATGAGTACAAAATAAGTTGAATAATAGTTTCAGGCGAGTTAGGTGGATAAATGGTGACTCTTAGCCTTTTTTTTAAATGACAGATCAATACTGCTAATATTATTACTTTAAGGATATATCTGCAAAAGTTCGTATCTCAGGATTTGATATTTTACAGTTGAGAGACTTTTGTTGAAACGTTTAAATTATTGCAATATCAAATAAAAGTGACGAGGAAAGAAAACATATCTTAAGTGAGACGCATTCTGAAAGAAATTTGAGTTTTTGAATCATGTATTCCTTTCCGTTCCGTTTCTTTTTTTCCCCTCCTTTTCCTTGCCCCCCCCTCCCCCCACCCCCTTTCCCTATCATCTGTTCTCCTATTCCTTCTTCCCCATTCTCCTCCTTTCCTTTCTTCTTTCTCCTTCCACTCTCCCCACATTGGACATGAGGAAAAGGTGAGAGGCAAAGAAATCCACTCAACACTTCTTAAATAAATAAAGAAAGACAGAAAGAAACAAAGAAACAAAGAAACAAGGAAAAGAAAATATGACTTGGTGCGGAAGGAACAATTTAGGGACAGCTGTTTTTATTTGTTTTGTTGTTGTTGTTGTTGCTGTTATTGCTGCTGCTGTTGTTGTTGTTGTTGTTGTTGAAATAAAAGTATTGGTAAGTGTTTTTCCGCACTCTCAACAGCATAAGGTCATAATGGCCTTCTACCCGTTGTTTGGATCAATCTATTTCTGAACCTTTTAGAGGGTGGTGCACCCATACTTGTTTAATTGTTCTCATGAGAGGAACTACGTGATAAAAACGACCCTAACGTACAGGGTGACATACGATTTAACGCGAAGCTGCTTCCGTCAACAAGCTATTTTAAAAAAAACGAGGCCAGAAAGCTAAAAATTACAGGAGAGGAAAAAACAACAAAAATAACGCTATCATTCTTTGAACAATTGTACCTATATTATGGACCTTTCCTTGCTCTGTTCAACATTTAGAAATTGAATTTAGACCAAAATATTTCTTGAGCACATGCATCTAATACCAAAGATTTAGAAACTAGATCTACATTAAAAAAAGAAGAATAACAATTTCGGGCTTAATACACTTTAACACCTGACTGGCGTTATACAAAGTCTTGACAGTAACTAATATATACCTCTCTGTCACAGCACAGGCAGATGTTTTTGTAAAGGATTGTTGAAGCCAACTTCTAGAGAAGAATACAACATACAAAAGAAAAGGAAAGGGAAGAATACGTTGCACACAGACGGTTGGTTTCAGAGAGAAAGGCAAACTGTAATAAGTGATCATACTATAATAACAATAACAGTAACAGTGATATGCTTATTATTACCCCTCCTCCTCTTCCTCTTCTTTCTCCTCCTCCTCCTGTCCAACTCCTCCTCCTCCTCCTCCTCCTCCTCCTCCTCC